ATAATTGTGTCTTGTAATTTTACTCAAAGAACCATTTATTGAATGATTTAATGAATATGTATTCATGAGAATATGTATATGTTAACTTGTATTTTCTTTAATTAGGTAAAAATGCCACCCAAAGATAATAAGGGTAAAGGTCCTAGTGATAGTGGTAGGAAGCCCAGGCGTCCAAGGGTAGTAGTATGCCAGTCACCTCACTCAGCCACATGTCCTCCCCCGCAGAGTCAGGTTCATCATGTCCCATGGACAGTACTATGCCATTTACTCCATTACTATTATCTCAGAGTCCTCTTCAGTTCCCATCTGGGAGTACATGTTTTATTAGTCCATCTGGGGCCCCACCTGGTTTACCATTCCAGCAGACACAGGTGCCCTCCTCCTTCCAGCAGACACAGGTGCCCTCCTCCTTCCAGCAGACACAAGTGCCATCCTTCCAGCAGACACAGGTGCCCTCATCCTTCCAGCACAGTTTTCCATTTCCCACACAGATGCCCTCATTCGTGCAGCAGCCTGGAGGATCCAGCACCCCACTTCCTACACAGATGCCCCCATCCGTCCAGCAGCCTGGAGGATCCACCTCTTCACGACCCACACAGACTGGTCGCACCCCCACATCCCACAGAGTCGGATGATGAAGATCTTGGTGTGGATGATGATCAGATAGATGGGAGAGATCTTCGAGGGGATGATGATCCGAGTGAGATTCATACCATTGATGGGAGATTTTGGATATGGCCTGAAGGGAACTCGTAAGTTTCTTATTTATTGATTTTTATTTATAAGTACACATTTCCATTTTTAATATAACTTTATATAATTAATTATGCTAATTAAATTATTGTTGTTTTAGTTTCGGGCCGAGTCGGACTGCGGCTAAGGTTATCAATTATATAATTCAGCAGAATTATACAAAATTTTTGAAGAGTTTTAGAGAAGTTTCCGATAAAGAAGAATGGTTCAAGCAATTTCAGATATAATTTATTTATTTCTTAAGTTATTTTTATTTAAATGACCTTTTCATTATTGTTATAATTTATCTAACTATTTATTTTAATGTCATATACAACATTGCTGGCGAAATGTGTTTGGGATCCCCTGAACCATAACAAAGTAAAAAAAAAATATTTTGGGAGGAGTTCAAGACGACTTTCTGACATGCTACGACGTGTTAGAGAGAATTGGCACCTTTTGGGCATTCGTCCCAAATGGATAGGCAAAGAAGTTTTTGAACAACTTCTTAAGTATTGGGAATCAGATGAATTTAAGGCCAAATCTGAAACTGCAAAGAAGATGAGGACATCGAAAAAAGGGGGTTGCATTAATGCTGTTGGAAGTATTAGTACTGCTGAGCATGCTCGACGCATGGTAATTATTAGCACTTTTTAAGGTCATATTTGGATTTATAACATATTATTAATTTAAGTTAATTTTTATATTTAGGCTAAGCGTTTAGGGAGACAACCATTGATGATTGAGCTGGTTAAGGAGACTCAGACAAAGAAATCGGGAGGATTTACTGACGAGCGCACAAAAAAAGCCCTGGTAATTAAGTAAACTTATGTTTATATTTTTTTTTAAGCAATTTTGTGACGTGATTTTCATGTAGCAAGTGACATGTTGTGGCGTGAAAATTGAGTGGCAACTGATAAGTTGTGGCGTTACAATCACGTGACTATTTATTTTTTATTTTTATTTTTTTTAATTTAATTTCATTAATGTTACTTATACATTTAATTTAACTTGATTTTTTTATTGTATGTGTAGGAGGATTATCAGGCGTTGCTTGTAGAATTTCTGACCCATAATCCTCAGTATACGCCTCATCCAGAAAAATCGGTTCATCCAGATGTGGATTTCTATATTTGGAGTCAAGTTGTTGGGGGAAAGGGGCCTAACGGGTGTTTTTTTGGTGGTGGAAATTTGACGGGCACCTTGAGGAGTGGGGATAGAAATCTGTATCAGAGAGCTGCAGACGGTGAAGGAGGGTCACGTCAAACAAATTTGACACCAAATCAGTTAGAACTGGTAAGACAATTGGCTAGACGCGAGTCCGAAGATCGTGAGGCGGCATTGAAGGCCCAAATGGAGGCAATGAGGGGTGAACATAATAGACAAATTGAGGCAATGACGAAGAGGCAAGCTGATATGGAGGAGCAAATGCGACAATTTATGCAAGCATTTGGTAGAAATCCCAACAGTGGTTGCCAAAATAATAACCACCAAAATAATAATGATGACTTTCTTCCCGACATTTCCGACGACTCTGATTCTGCTTAGTTTTATTTTTATTTTGTATTTAGTTTTTTATTTGTGTAATAAAAATTTATAATGATATGGTATATTTAAAAATATTATATATAAATTTAAATTTGAGTTTATTAAATTTATAATATTAAGTATATTTATTTATACATTTAGATATATTTAATTTTGTTTTTGATAATTTGATTTATAATATTGTATTTAATAAATAAATTATAATATTTAATTTATAAATTTAATAAAACAAAAAATAGTATTAATTATTAAAACAGAATTAATATATTTAAAACATAAAATATTTTATTTTTTAAATAAAACTAGTTGCGGCGTGTTTTTCATGTCACTAATTAGTGACGTGAAAAACACGTCGCTACAGCTAACGTAACATAAATGTAAACCTGCTCTGCTCTGCTCTGCTCTGAATTGTTTTAATCCATACAGTATGTTGCGGCGTGAATTTCACGTGGCAACTTGGTGACATGTTTTTCACGCCGCAACAAGATTGTCACGCGCTATATAGCGACGTGTTTTTTAAGGTGGCAAAATCTGAGTAGTGGCGTGATTTGGGTGTTAGCGACGTGGCTTTCACGTGGCAAAACACAATTTATTTTGTAGTGATTATACTTAATATTTAAAAAGAGAACTTCTCATAAATATTTTCTATTTGTTATACTAATATTTGATATAAATGAAAGACTAACACTTTTCTATTTATTTTTCATGAAAAACATAAAATAAATAATAAGATTTAAATTTTTTAGTTTGTCAATATCCAAATGGCGTCACAATTATAACAATATTTATCACAAAAATAAAATTTATTTTAAATGATCACAATTGCATATTTTGTATAAAAAAATTGAACCTACAAATAAATTAATCAATCAAAATTAAATTTAGGCAATAATTTCACGTTTTCTATTATTTTTAATAAAGTTAAAATACAGGTAATAAACCAATAATATGTTTTATTTACAATGGTCACAATAGTAGAACTTGCAAAATAAAATAAAAATTCTAACTTGCAAATGAATTAATCAACCAAATAAAATTATAGACATTAATTTTACATTATTTAATATTTTTAATCAAATGAAAATATAGGTGATAAATCCATAATTTACTTTTCATTAAGATGATCACAGTGGTAGAGCATTCAATAGTAAAAAGTTGATTATATATATATATATATATATATATATATATATAATATATATATATATATATATATATATATATATATATATATATATATATATATATATATATATATATATATATATATATATATATATATATATATATATATATATATATATATATATATATATATATATATATATATATATATATATATATATATATATATATATATATATATATATATATATATATTATTTAATATTTTGAATAATACCGTTAACATAGTTTTTAATTCATACTTTAAAAATTGATATTAATTTATTTGTACATAATTATAAATATATTGTTCTTTAATTTATTTTGATGAAAAAAAGACGAATGTTCTAAATATTGATCTATAAAATAAATATATTATTAATAAAGTCAATTTCTTTTTTTTTTTTAATGTTCTACTAATAAAGTGGTATTTATATGTGAAAATATTACCTTATTTAGTTTGGTTGATTTATTTACATGTAAGTTTAAAATTTTTAATTTTTACAAATACAATTGTGACAATTTTAAACAAATTATACTATAATAATAATATTATAATTGTGGCGTCTATTGGATATTGTAAAATTAAAAATTAAAATCTGATTACTTATTTTATTCATTCTAAAAAAATAAATAGAATAGTTTAAGTCTTTAATTTATATAAAATATTAGGATAACATATAAAAAATATTAAGTATATTAAAAAAAAATCAAGTAAAGTGATATTTATATCGAATTATGGTGAGATTTTCTTTTTATAGAAATTTTAAATATCAAACATAATAGGAAAAAAAATCAAGTAAAGTGATATTTATATGCAATTATTAATTTTTAAACGTTAAATAAATCTGACTATTGATATCATTAGTTTTTATTTTTCACAATAATATTGTTCTTGTTTTTTACAATAATATCGTTCTTATTATATATTTGTCTTTTTTTTATTTATAGAATGAAAGGTAATTGGAATCATGGGTGATTGTAATAATGATGGAGAGAGAAAATATCATTTTTATTTTTTAATTAATAAAAAAGTTCTAATTGGTGGTTTTTGAATCCACTTGTTGGAATGTTTGTTTCCATTTAAAAAAATTTCAATATTTGTTTTTAGCAAAGTAAAACTAATTTTTATCATTATAAATTAAAAGTTTAATACAAAGAAGAATAACATAAATAATAATACATCTAATTTAAGAATTGAGCAATTAATTAAAATCTTTAAATTTGTCATGTCATTTAAATATTTTAAAAATAAAAATATATTTTAATTAAATGCATGTCTCTTATAATTGATAGTGTAAAATATTTTTATATTGATCGGTATATTTTTTTTTTATTATAAAATTTAAATTGTTTTTCTGATTTTTAGAAAATGCTAATTTATATTTGGATATTAAATGGTTTTTATATCAAATAATTTATTGAGCCATTAATTCATAAATCCGTTTATTTTGTACGTATAAAGTTGAGATGGTCTCATAAGATATCAAATTTTCTACTGACAGCTCGAAATCAAATTTCTTCTTCTCATTTCAACGTGCCTATTATTCATGAACATGATTGGATTAAAGCCAAAACCTTGTTTGTTGTTTCATCTTCTAGCTGTTATATTGTTTGCATGTTCAGTTCAATCCTTGAGATTCGATTTGCCATCTGGACTCTCCAAATGCATCTTCGAAGACATCAAGAAAAACTGGATGACGGTTGGAAATTACTCAATCGTCAATTCAAACGAGGGTCAACCTCCACCCTCGGATCACACCATTGCTGTTACGGTATTATTTATTAATTTAATTTAATTTAATTTAATTTATATTTGAGTAAAAATAATGTTAATAATAATCTGGTTTTAGGGTTATTAATTTGATTTATTGTTGCTGTTGATGATTATATAGTTGTATAAGTATGGAGGCTCTACATCATATCATTATGCAGAACATGTTCAATCGGGACAGTTTGCATTTGTTGCACCAGAAAGTGGTAACTACGTGGTGTGTTTCTGGGTGGATTCAACGCATGATTCTGGAGTAACACTGTCTATTGATTTTGTGTGGAAAGCTGGTGTGGTTGCTAGGGATTGGTCCAATATTGCAAAGCAAACTAACGTTGATGTAAGTTAAATTATCATTGTTCTGAATTACACTTCAATTGCATTTCGACAGGGTTGCCAAAGATCTATGAAGCACGGACACTTCTAGAAGTAGGTGTGTCGCGGTGCCGTCACGTGTCAGTGTCCGACACTTTTATGACACTTGTACAACACATCTCACAAAAATCAAACAATTGTCGGAAAAGTCAAACAAATATCTCTAAAAAATTAGTTCTTTTTTTACTTCGACACATTTTGAATCGGTATTCAATATCCATATAACACTCATAACATATCGGTATATCGTGTCGCGGTGTCTATGTCGGAGTCTGTGCTTTATAAACAGAGATTACTATATAAGCAATATTGCAATCACAATTGCGGTTGCGTGCCACAATCTAAAATCATATGGTTTAAACAACATTTAGCATTAGACTATGCTTTGATTATATGATAAAATGAAATGAATTTGAATTTTATTGTTTGGAATTGTATATAATGAATGAATAAATAATGGCATTTTGATATTTTCAATAACTTATAGAGACGAGAAATTATTCTATAATTTAGGGAAGACAAAAATTCTTGTTTTTATAATATTCTTTAATAACTACTTTTGCCTAATATCATGATTAGTTTGTAAATCAAACATGATCCAGTAAAAAATGTTATGTGCAATTTTTATTTTTGTTAGCAAATTAAAAGTAATGTGAAATTGCACATAATCCTGAATAGAGAGACCAAATATTTAATTAAGCCATTGGATTTTACTATTGTTACCAAAGTGGTAATCTTTGCAAAAACTTGATTCTGTTATATGAAATATACTTCATGGTATCATTTGATTTTTCTAACATGTTGCAGAAAATGGCACGAGAGGTACGAGTTTTGCATGAAACTGCATTGTCTATTATGGAAGAGATAATTTATCTTCGCGAACGGTAAGTATTTTTTTTGGTATTTATATTTCAATTCGTAGCATGACTGTTTTAAATTTTTAAGCTTTCTGTGTTGGCTAATTATGATTCTACCGTGACAAAACATAGAGACATTATGTTTAGTTCTGGTTTAACATTACAGAGATATTATCAAGTTTTATTTACCCACAGTTTAGTCTTAAAAATTTTGAAGCTATGTACTATAGCACATCTTGTATACTCTCAAAAAAGTCCTGAATTTTAGTTGACAAGTTATTTTTAATTTTTATATTTCAGAGACGAAGAAATGTTAGATTTCAATTGGACAACCAACACCAGAATGTTATGGTTGAGTTTTGTTTCATTTCTTGTTTGTTTCTCAGTAGCTGGGTTGCAACTATGGCATTTGAAGAGCTTTTTTAAGAAAAATAAAATCCTATAAAATTTTGTTATGATTTAGTTATACAATTTACTTTATATGTTCTGTAAGTTATCTATGATTTATAGTGGCTTCAATTTACAGGATGGGCATAATTAGGTGTCTTGATATGAACGAGATTGTTCCTTTTTCAGTTAATGGAAAACACTTTCATGGAAAAAAATATGCTAAGCAGTTGTTGATTCTCTTGGCATAGTAAACTGTATTATTGATCTTTATTTTCCCCTTTTTAAGTCCATTTATCGGTCTCTCAACTATACAGACACTCTTAAATGTATTTAGGAGCCGACAACGGATCAGTTTGGCGGATTCTAGTCCAAAATTAACACTCAATTTAAATTGCAGTATTAATCTTAAGATCCATTTTTGCCCAATAAATTAAGGAGATTTATTTTTCCATCTATGTACCTTCTTACAAATCTTTAGTGAAAATTCAAAAACATACCTAGAGTTCGGAGATGTATCTCAAGATTCACTTATTTTTCTCAAAATTGAATGCAAACGAATGAGTCACTCCAATTATACTTAATTTTAGTTTGGAGTTGCATCTCCGAATGAGTATTTGATATATTTTGGATATGCATATCCGAAAATGGCGTTGATGTTTCAAAACAAAAACAGAGACAGTATGAGCAAGACCCAGAAACCACAACAAATTGACATTAAATAAAAACACTCAACGTTACATAGATAGTTATTAACATAAATTTAATAGAAGTGGAAACATATACTTGTTAGTCTTACACGTTGAATCAATTATGAGGACAGTGGGAAATGTGTTAAATAACTTGATACTTTTGGGATGAGTTCAAAATATGTTACGAACAATGACTTTATCCTCACAAACTATGTATCTCGAAACATAGTAGTTATCACCCAAAAGCTTCAAAAGTTGTTGCATTTCGGATCTTGGACCTCTTATCGCCATGTTGTTTCGATAACGTGCATTGTATACCAGCTTGATATTTGAAACACTTTTAGATCTTTTCTGTTTCAAATCTGCAAGTGTGTTTTTCGGCGCTACTCTGATTAAAGACATTCTGAAACAATTTCCTTTTCCTTCGATTTAAGGTGGCATACGATGGGATGATCAGCTAGCTCAGTTTGCAAGACATGATTATGTATACCAGAAACCACATTAAATTTTTATGTATCAATCACTTTACAGTATCCGGGCAATTTAAACGAACACTCACATTTTCTCAATTCGATCTCATCAGGTTTCAACTTTCAAATCGGTGGAACTTACGTGCCACTTCTCTCACATCTCATGGTTGCAAATGCTTGCCTTCTATTAGAACCATTGTAAGATCTTATGATTAGAATGCTAACCCCTAATTTCCTGGCCTCTATTTGGACCCATTGAAGCATATGCTCACGAGCAGTAAACGGTTGCTCATTTCTAAATTGTTGAACAACATCCATCTCGACAACAACCAGTCTAGCACCCGGTTTAACTCCATTCTTCACTTCATCTGATTTATATCATTTTTCACTTCATCTGATTTTACATCATTACTTACTGCAGTATATCTAATACGAACAAAAACAGAAAAACGTTTTTGAAAACTCATAGTAACAGGCAAATTCATATATGCACATTCGGATGTAACGTAAATTTTTCAGCTCAAGAACAAGATTAATGCAAGCAATGATGGATGAAATAAGTGAACTTTACCTTAAATTGCAACTTTTTTTGCTCTCTTTGATGTGATAACACAAGAATGATGATTTGTAGTCGAAAAGTTGATTGAGAATGAATTTTTTTAAAGACTTTGGTTATGTAGGTGGTATGGAGTGTGGGAGAGATGATCATGCAAGGTGGTGATATATTCAATTCCTACTTAACATTTTCGGAAATGCATCTCCGAAAATATCATTGAATGGTTAAATAAGCTAACTCAATAAAAATGAGTAGTAAATGGATTCGGGGGTGTTTTCGAAAATGAATCTCCGAGTTCACCCCAAAAATTACAGAGATGAATCTTCGGACCAATTTTTAACAAAAATGAAATGGTTGTTTGATTTACGAAAGATGTAGTGATTTAAGGTGTGTCCGCACTTCAAGGTAATTTCGAGTTTTCGGTGGTACATACCCTAAAGATGAAAAAAAATCTCTAATTAATAGGTTTACACGTACCGGGTCCCAACAATTACGGGTAAATATAAGCAGGAAAGAGAACGAGAGATTAGAAGCTATAAATCAATCGATATGATATAAATTTGCAACAGAAGAATGTATACAAAATCATAAGTCAAAATAAACTGCATTTTCTCTTTTATATTTATTTATATGTATAAATTTAATTCGTACAATTATCCTCAAAAAAAAAAATGAAGCACGTATCAAAATAGCGATTCACGAAACTAAATTAATATATTCTAGGATTTAACAATACATATTTTATAAATTGAAATATTTATTATTAAAAAAAATTTATACACTACTAATTTAAATTTTTTTATATAATTGATGAACCACAATCATTCATTTTTTTACTTAACACACAGTGATTCATAAATATCATAAATAATTGATGAACCACAGTGATTCATTTTTTTACTTAACACACATAGTGATTCATAAATATGTAAACTCTATAATCTTGCTATTACCACCAAATCAAAATTGTTAATAAATTTTCTTTAGAGAGCGTCTAAGATGAAACCAAGCATTTCTTGAGAAGGGATAACAGCGGCCACAACCTAAAGTTAAAGACGGAAGATTTTTTGTTGAGGTTATTCAAGATTCTTCCAAGGTGTCGATTCAGTCTCCACGCCCTTGTTTGGATTACGAATTTTATTATGGTGCGGTGCTAGAGAGTTTCAAGAAATCAGTAGTGGGCAAAGTGGTTGAATTGGGTCTGTCTTATAATTTACAAGACATCTTTGACATGGAGGGTTTTTTTAAGGTTAAAATCACTCCTCTCAGAGCAAATCTCTGCCTACTTGAAGAAAGGGAGGATCAAGTGTTGGAGGCTCTTCTAAAGGAGGAATCAGAGTAGATGAAGAAGTGGTTGTTGGATGTTACCCCTTGGAATTCTTTGGTGATTGATAGGGAGAGAGTCACCTGGGTTCGACTCTACGGTCTTCCATCGCATGTTTGGGGAGGTGATTTTTTTGAGTGTCTTATTGGTAGCATGTATAGGACTTTAGCAAAGACCCTTGCCTCTAGATTGAAGGTGGTAGTGGTTAAATTGATTTCTAATTGTCAATCATCTTTTATTCTTAATAGAAATATGTTGGATGAGGTGTTGGGTGTCGATGAGTTGTTGGATTATGCGAAGAGGTTTAAAAATAGTTGTATAATGGTGAAAGTGGATTTTGAGAAGGCATATGATTGTGTCTCTTGGAATTTCTTTAGATTTTTATTGAGAGGGATGAGGTTTGGGGAGAGGTGGATAAAGTGGGTGGAGGCTCTTATTTTTAGTAGTTCTATGTCGATTCTAGTAAATGGTAGCCCGACTAATGATTTTATGGTTTCTTGTGATTTAAGGCAAGGAGATCCTCTTTCGCCTTTTCTCTTTTTGTTGGTAGCGGAAGGCCTAGCGGGAATGGTGCGTAAGGCCTCTTTGTTGGGTGATTTGAAGGATTTTCGTTTTGATGACCGCACCAACTTTGATATTATCCAATTTGCCAATGATACCATATTGATGGGGGGCAATTCTTAGGACAACCTTTGGTGTTTTAAAGTTATTCTTCATGGTTTTGAGTTAGCTTCTAGTCTTCGTGTGAATTTGAATAAAAGTAGGCTTTTAGGGATTCATTTGAATTTAGATTTTGTGGAAGCGTCCGCTTCTTTTCTTAATTATGAAATCGGGTCCGCTTCATTCATTTTTATTGGTATTCCGGTTAGAGTAAATCATAGGAGGAGAGATGTTTGGAAGCCTATTGTTTCCAAATTAAGAAGAAAGTTAGGTGGTTGGCAAAATGGGCATTTATCAATTGGAGGAAGAGTTGTTCTTTTAAATTCAGTTTTGGCTAGTATTTCTATCTCCATGCTCTCTTTTTACAAGGCTCCTAAGGCAATCATTAAGGAGATTACTATGCTTCAATGATCTTTTTTTTGGGTGGGAAATGAAGCGAAGAGGAAAATTAGTTGGATGGGTTGGGATAAGGTGTGTTTATCCAAGAAAGAAGGCGGTCTTGGTGTTAAACATTGTGAGAAATTCAATTTGGACCTTCTTAGCAAGTGGAAGTGGCATATTTTGAATGAGGAGAACTTGTTTTGGACTAACCTTATTTCATGCAGGTACGGTGATATTAAAGCTTTTGTTCTTGAAAATGTGGCTTTACTTCCGAGAAGTAAAGTTTTCTTTGGTGCAAGCATATTTGTGTAGTTGGAAGAACAGATTCACCGCCTTTGACCAATTAGTTCTCTTCTTCCATTTCGTGCAAACTTGGAGATGGAAATACTATTGATTTTTGGCGAAACTGGTGGATTAGTTTGTCTCCTCTTTGTATCATATTTCTAGTGTTGTTTTTATTATCGGATCTGCTTTACCCGAATGTTGCTCATATGGGTGAATGGGTGGACGATGATTGGTCTTAGGAGGTTAAATGGGGTTTTCCTCCTTCGACCCGGGAAGTGACTTCTCAACTTGGAGAGCTCTCGATTTTTTTATTTCCGATCCATCCTTCCACATCTAGAATGGATTCCTTTGTTCGATGGAGAAATGAGCATGGTTTTTCGGTTAGTTCTTGTTATGATTGTATTTTGAGGGAAGATGTGATTTCTTGGGAGTTGGATGTTCATATTTCTTAGGCTTTGGTTAGTTTGTGGAAAACTAAGGTTCCAAGTAGAATTCATATTTTTGGTTGGTGATTATTTTGGAATAGACTTCCAACGAAGCTGGAGCTTTCTAAGCATGGGGTGATTAGTGGAATGGACAAATTGGTGTGTCCTCTTTATTTTGGGAATGAGGAATGTTTAGATCATCTCTTTTTGACTTGTCCCATTTTGAAGGCGTGGTGGGTTAATATTTATTGTTGTCTTAGAGTCA